GAATGTGTTGCATGGGAAAAATCCTGCTGCATTGGACATTTTTGCCTTTGCAGTGATTCATACTGTGGCGTGACGAGAGCACCGCTGGGTGCACGGGGATTTTGCGGAGGAGGGATAAATCCTCGCAGAGGCAGAAAGGGAAGGAGAGGAGCTTTAATCTGTTGCAGCTGCTCTGCATATGCCACACACCTTTCAAATCCAGGCTTGGGTTGTATCTGCAGCCTGCTGGATTTCAGTGGTGACTGGGCATAGATTTTCCTAGTGTTCAGCAATGGAGAGAGCACTGAAGCACGTGCAGGGATGGCCATGTGGGGGATTTGGAGGATGAGTGCAGGAAAAATGGAAATAATTGGTCCTTTTCCTCATGTGATTATGCAGTAAAATGGATGAAATGGCATCCCAACAGGACAAAAAGAGGTTGTGTGTATAGATCTGCCTGCCTGAGGCAGGTTGGCAGAGCTGACAGTCGACCTGTTGCATCCCTCTTGTTGTTTTTCATACCATCTTTCTATTAGCATTTAGAATTAAGGCAGGAAAATCCAATATATTCCTTACCTGTCAGCCACAGGGAGAAGTTTCAGTGCAAAACACCTAATTAGGAGAGCTGCTGCTCCAGCCCAGGCCACGAGAGGAGCAAAGCAGCTGCAGAGGGGGAATGTGGAAAGATTTTGGGTCTCCCCATTTTACAAACATTTTACAAGTATCCATGTGCTTTCTGCAAGGTGGAGGCAGCAGTTAGGGGATATACACATCTCTTGGATTAAATCTTTGCCTCGTGAGGCATTTCAGCATTAAACTTAATGTGGCTGAGCTCTTTGCTTTTGCTTCTCAGCCTGGAAATGTGTTTTCAAAGGGAACAGTGAGTTGTGTTTTTGTGGGTTTTTTTTAACAAAAACCACTTCTTTTGCAAACCATCCTTAGTCCTTTCCAGAACAGGCAGGTTTTTGGCAGCTGAAGAAATCATTCCCAGCATTTGTGTACCCCACACCCCAGCCTTGTGTGCTGGAGCCCTTTCCTCCTCTCTCCACCTCTCCCTGCTGGGTGCCGGGACATACCTTCCAGCACGCCGGCAGATGTTGACTGTTTTCACTGGCTTCTGGGCCTTTGGGTATTTGTTTTTCCAAGGGAGGTTAGGTGGAAAGAGGAGGATAACAGGATGCTGGGGGTTTTTTTCCTAACTGCTGCGGAGGAGACTGTTTCACCTCTGGCCAGGAGAGCTGCCCATGGCTGGGAGCGGAGTTACAGCACTGGGGACTGGCAGGGAGTGAATGTTTCCATCCCCTGTGAGAGGGCTGGACCACTCCTTTGGCCTGTTTGTCATGAAACCTTAAAAACTTCCGTAGAAGTAATTCGTTTGTTTATTTGATTTTTTACTTTCTAGTCTCAAAATACTACCAAGCTGTTTATCCAAGGTCTCCAGAAATTTAACATTATTAATCACACACAGTAAATAAAATCCTTCCGTGCCCTGTCCTCCTTCCAAAGCCGAGAGGGAAATGGTGGTCACAGCTTTGACAGGGCTTGTTCTTGTCACGTCAATGAGCAGTGCCATGGTCCAGCACCTCCTGTGAAACAGTCCAGCATCAGCAGAGCCAAGCACTGGCTCCAGTGGGTCTCCATCCTGATGCCTACTGCTGGTGCTGCTGTTCCAGCCCTTCCTGCTCTTTTTACATGAACTTTTTTTGCTGTCTCAGACTCTCACCAAGGAGGCATTGCTGCTGGGTGGCCATGGGAACTCTGGGTGTTCCATGACAGCTGTTACATGCTGTAATCCCTGACATGTGAGGGCATCTCTCATTGAACTGGCTCACTTCCCATTCCCATTCCTTTACTCTGCCCACTTCCCTGTCACCCAGGATCCCATGGCTTGGACCTGCTGCCCTGGAGGTTGCACAGCACCCTGCACATGGCCATGGGTGCTGGGTATGTTGGAGAAGGCAAGGGGCAGGATCCACTCACCTTGAACCCCTGGGGTAACTTCACCTTCTGGGGGAGGTGGAGGTGCAGGGAGAGATACCAAAGCTGCTGCTGGTGCTGAGTGTGTCACTGTGTAGCTCATGCAGCCTGGAGGGCAGGGGAGGCTGGGACCATTTGCCAGCTTTTCTTTTTCTTTTCCTTTCTCTTTCCCAGTCCTGCCAGCGAGTGGCAGGATGCTGCCTGCACAGTCCCTGGCCAGCTGGGTGCTGGCCTTGGGCACGGCACGGGAGCCAGGCCAGGTCCTGCTCTGGCCGTGTGTGCTCTGAGCACAGGAACAAGGGCTCTCTGTGTCCTGCCGGCTGCCGGGGCCCTGGTCTCTGCAGCGCCTGACACCAGCCGGTTTCTCCCTCTCCATGGGGCTCCCTCCATCCCTCCTCCTTCCTGTGGTGTTTGAGATCACCCTGTTTCCAGGGCAGAGTGTAAAAGAGATGCAGTTCACGTCACTGTGGGTGCCAACCTGTACCTGGGTTAAAACCCATGCACAGGACATCTCCCCTGATATATTTGAGGGCTGGAACATCTCCCCTGTGAGGACAGGCTGAGGAGGTTGGGGCTGTTCAGCTTGGAGAAGAGAAGACTGTGGAGACCTCATAGCAACTTTTCAATATCTGAAGGGCCTACAAGGAGCCAGGGAGGGACTCTTTGTTAGGAACTGCAGTGATGGGACAAGGGGTAATGGGTTCAGACAGAAGGAGGGAAAGTTTAGGTTAGATATTAGAAAAATGTTTTTTCCTGTGAGGGTGGTGAGACACTGGCACAGGTTGTCCAGGGTGGTTGTGACTCCCCCAACCCTGCAGTGTTCAAAGCTTGGTTGGATAAATCCTTGAGCAACCTGCTCTGGTGGGAGGTGTCCCTGCCCATGGCAGGGGGTTGGGGCTAGATGATCTGTAAGGGCCATTCCAAACCCCAAAATTCTATGATTTTGTATTTATATTTGCACTCCAAAGCCATCAGCATTCCAGGGTCACACCTACTCTACATTTTGCAGGATGGGGGAGCATCCTGTAGTATTCTGGGCTCCTACAGACTCAGTGTGGGGCAAAAGCAGCATCCGTGATGGCAAGGTTGGACTCCCAGGACTTGCTTTTGAGGCAGGAGCTGGCAGAAAATGATTATACACAGACCTCTCAGCTTCTTAAATCCTGCAGATGGGAGGCATCCACAATTTTATTTTTTTTTGCTGCAGGGCTGTTGCCCCATGAGAGAACACCTCTGGAGCAGGCAGGGGCAGCCCAGGGCTCCTTTGCTGCCTGTCTCTGCCTGGCTGGCTGCAGGATCCTGCTTGAGGTTGGCATTGGAGCCCTCCCTGATCCAGGAACCAGCACATTTGGTGTGAAGAGCCTCAGGGGGAGAACAGCCACTGCTCCATGTCAGCAGTGTGTGTGTGACTTGGGGGAATGCAGCTGGGTAAAACGTGGCAGTGCTGTGCCTGTGGCTAGAGACTGAAAATTACTTTTTTCCTCTCCTTAGGATAAAATTAGCTGAGTCCAAACCACTCACAGAGCCTGCCCTCCTCCAGCAGGCTAGAGAGTGGGTTTTGGAAGGGATTTGGTCACCCAGCATCCACATTTGGGCACAGATACTTGAAAAATGTCTCTTCCTGGTCAGTCCTGTAAAGCTTTGTGTCACTGTGGCATCAGCTTGAGGGTGTTGGGACTCACCCTGCACTGTCAGGAGCCTGTAGGAGTGGTATTTGCAGTTCCCATTGATGTACAGACATCTCTCTCTGCTCCCCACTGTTCTGCCTTTGGTGCCAACCTCAGCATCCTTCTGGGATCACACATCAGTCCTTGTCTCACAGGTGATGGCCCTCTGGGCACAGACCTTCTGTGCATGTGGTGTCCTGGCACCTCCTGAACTTGTTTTCCCTCTTTCCCCTGCTGAGCCAGGATCTCTGCCAAGGACCTGAAGAACATGCTGTCTCAGGTCAACTACCGAGTCCCCAACATGAGGTTCCTGCGGGAGAGACTCACGGTGAGTGTGACCCCTCCATTCTCCCCCTCAGCACTGGGGACCCTCAGCAGCCTGTTGCCTGCCTTTGTGCAAACCCTGGTGTTGGTTAAACTCCCACGGGGTGTTTGCATGTGGCAGAGGCTCCCAGCCTTTCCTGGGAGGGCCCCCACCCACGATGGTGACTGAAGAGGTGCCAGCTCCCACTGGGTGCCGCACCCTGGCCCATTTGTGGCCTGCACCTTCTCTTTACCCCACCCTGCCTCCCACACTCCCTCATTGCTCCTGGCTCTGGTCCTGGGTTTGGTGCTGGGGTAGAGCACAAAAGACCAGCTGCCAGGTCCTGCATTTTAGGTGCTGCAACCCACTGCCACCGAGTGATGCTCTGCCAGTGTCACCACAGACCCAGGGATGAAGGGTCATCTGGTGATGACTAGCTGTTCCCACCAGCACAGAACTCCAAGGTCAAAGAGCAGGGTATCCAGAGGAGAGCTGACACTTGGGGTCTTGCAGTTTCCAGATACTACAGAGATTCTCAGCAAACAAAAGATTAAAATGAATCTTTTGTAACTGTTCAAGTAAACAGTGATGCTTTTATCAGCATGGTGATGCCTTTGTGTGAGTGAGCTTGGGGAACTGCAGAACCTAGATGAGGATGTGCCCATGTTCTGGGTACTGCAGGGCCCCACTGGCCCCTGCAGAGATCATGGAATCACAGAATCATTAAGGCTGGAAAAGCACCCTAAGATCAAGTCCAACGATTGACACAGCACAGCCACATGTCCCTAGGTGCTGCATCCAGACATTTTTTGTACAATTCCAAGGGTAGCGAGTCCACCACTTCCCTGGACAGCCTGTTCCAATGCCTGACCACCCTTCCATGAAGAGATCTTTCCTAATGTCCAACCTAAACCTCTTCTGGCACAGCCTGAGGCTGTTGTGCAGGAGGCAAAGTCTGGACAGGTTTTGGCCTTTTCCTCCTCTTTCCAGAAAATTTCAAGATTCCCTGGGAATCTTGGTAGGAGGAGACACTCCTCCTGCCATGCAGAGTTGCCTGTGGCCCCAGTAAAACCTCTGGGTTTGTTTTTTTGTTTTTCTTTTGCCTCAGGATGTGGAGCAGAGGAATGGGGATATCACCTATGGGCAGTTTGCACAACTCTACCGCAGCCTGATGTTCAGCGCCCAGAAAACGGTAAGAGCTGAATTCTCCAGGGCTGGAAAGGGAAGGAAGAGACCATATTTGTTGCTGGGAATTCCTTCTTAATTGTCTTTTTAACCTTGCTGACCTCAGGATGAGTTCCTGTCTCCTGGGAGTAAAGAAGTTATTGAGTGCAAACCTAATGCTTCTGCTTCTTGTTTTGCAGATGGATGTCCCATTCCTGGAAAGGTGGATAATTCTCTGTATTTGCTGGGGAAGGGGCTGGTTTCTTTTGCTCCATAACATGCTTTGGTACCTGCAGCAGTGTGTCAGGATAAGGCATGCTGCCCTTCTCTTGCCACCACGCTGCCTGTGGTTTTGTGCTCTGAACAAGCATCTTTGCTGCAGACACTTCAGCTCGGGGCAGTGAGGGCTCTATCCCTCCCAGACTTCTCACTGAGATCCAGCTCAGGTCAGTTGGTGATGTGAAGTGACCTCGAGCCATCTCCCAGGGGTTGTCCTCATGGTGGCCACAGAGCCCTCTCTCCCCAGGTGCCATTGGTGCCATTGCCAGCTGTGCCCTTCCCTGCCCTCTGCACACCTTGGCTGTGGTAAAAAGAGCCTGAATTTAGACACAGGAGCTAAAGAGTGAAGGACTTATTAATTTGTCCAGGTAATTCCCAATGGTTTCCTTTCTTTTTTCCTATGACCATTGAAGAGAGATGGAAGGACCCTTGGCAGATCATCTAGCTTATCCCTCTGTCCAGGGCGGCCAGCACTGCCCCGTCCAGTTTGGGGTTTTGTGGCCCAGCATGGCCCTTGGCTGTCTGTTGCAGCTTGGTGCAATCATGGCCCAGTCTTTTGAGATAATCAGCTACAAACAGTTCCCTTCTTCATTCCCTGTGTGTTGTCTCCCTGAGTCCATGTCCTCTGGATACCTGTAGGTCTGTCCTGTCTGCAGTCACCCCTTGACTGCCCTGCACCTATTTAGTTCTTTTCACTCATGTACAAGCCAGACCTTCTATTTTTCTGGGTACAAATCTGTCTGTCTGATGATTTTTGCTACCCTTCACTATAGTTTCACATTGTTGTGCCCTTGGCAGTATGAATCCTGGACTGCACCTGGAACAGTCCTTGGCTCTGAGATGTGGACATGTCATCTCAGCTGCTCTGTGTTTGCTCACAGTCTCCTTGTCTTTCTGCTCATCCTGCTCTGCCCCTGCAGGGCTGCTTGCTCAGGGCACATCTGGCTGCATGTGCCATGGATGTGGAGGGGTGGCATCTCATGATGTGCTGCATGAGTGACTGAAGCTTCTCTCTCTCTCTGCTTGTCAGGGGTGGAGAAAGGTCTGAGCACTTCAGGGTGTCACTGCTGGAGCTGCAGAAGTTCTTGCTGGAGTACCAGAGGGTGAGCTCAACACAGGCCATGGGGACAAGGGGGATAGGGATCCAGTGATCCAAAGGCAGCCTTGCCATAGACCTGGGTTGATTTGGTTGTGGAGTGCTCTGCCTGCCATGGCTATAACCTGAGCCCATCCTTCCTGGAGTGGAGAGATGTTGCAGGGGGAGCACCGGTGAGGGCAAATCCATCCTCAGCCAGGTACCCTGGTCAGAAAAGGAGCAAAGAGCAGGAGATCTGGGAGGAGTGGAGGTCCCAGGAGGGATTAACTGGGCAGTGCAGGTTTACCCAGTCCTTGTGACCTCAGCTAGTTAGTGAAAGTTTGTAGCAGCCAATATCATGTCCATCCTGTTGCTTGGGAGGTGTCAGCAGTTCCTGAGGAGCAGCTGATGGATTCAGTTGCTGATCTTTCCATGTGAAAGCAATCTTGGGTCATTCAGCAAGGACAGCAGTGCACGTGCAAACACGCACACAGACACAAGCAGTGCATTCATGGGCCACGCAGACCCTTTGGCTCTTGCTGAGCTCCTGTCTCACTGCTGGTCTCCTCCAGGGCACAGGGGTGGCTGGTAAAGCCACTGCTGTGACCTTTGGGAGAGTGTGGAGCTTTCTGCTCTTCCCTGTCCCACCACCTCCCTGCCCGTGGTCTGCAGCCAGTGGGGAGTTAACCATCAGGGAGAGACAGCCTTTCAATGTCTAATGAAAGAAACCCAGGGAGAGAGAGCCAAAAGAAGATGCATTGGCTTCTGCTGCTGAAGGAGGAGGGATGGCAGATGTGTGCAAAGATGCTATCAGAGAGAAAAATGCATGGCATTGAGAAAAGAAGCCCACTTAGAGGCAGAGCAGATTTCCTCATTGCGTGCTCTCCGGCATTTGTGCTGACAGTTGAGTTCCTGGCAGAGATGGTCTTGCATCAAAAACCTCCTCCTTAATGATTAAAGCTTCTAGCTGGATGAGCTGCACGTGGTTTTGAGTAAGACTTTCTGAAACGGTTTCTTTTATGTCTCTCCTGGGGTTTGCAGGAGCTCTGGGCTGCAGATATCCTTCAGGTACAGGAATTCATGTTCAACTTTCTGAGAGACCCTTTGAGGGAGATTGATGAGCCTTATTTCTCCGTGGATGAAGTAAGACACCTTGAGCATGGTGTGGAGTGGGGTGACACAGTGGGTGACATCCCCAGTGTGATGTGTGTTGTGGTGTGACAGCTCTGCTGTCTGTGCCTTTGCTGTGAGGTGGTGGTGCTGGAAGGATCACAGCTCCTGTGAGATGTGTGGCTGTGTGAGATGGATGTTGTGGGTCACTGTGTTGCACAAAAACTGGTTGGCAAAGAGAATGACTTCTGGGTTCTCTTGTGCTGACTGTGTGCAGCTGGGAGTGCTCATCAAGCAGTTCATCTGGAGGAGGAAAGGGGCTGCATTTGGCTTAAAGCTGCTTCTGGGGTATGTAAGGATTTTTTCAAAACAAGAGCTGAAAATTAATAAAAAACAACTAGAGATGACCATGTCACTGGTACTCTGGACTAAGCCAAGATCCCTTGTCCCACGTGGCCTTAGGTAGCACCATGTGAGGTGCAAAATAAAATGCAGAGCCATTCATTTGTCTCCAGCTGGGTCAAAGGAGCTGGCACACAGATATCTGGCACAGCTCAGAGGGTAGGTGGCAGTCCCTAGGCTGTGGTTACTTGAGCACTGGCTCTGGTAGCTTGTGTGTTGTCTGGGTGGCCTCTGGTCAGTCTGTGCTGGGTTGGTGCTGCCATGGAGGGGGGGAGATGCATGTGAAGCTAAACCACAGCACTTGGCTCCTCCACATCATTAACACCCTTCTGTTTCTTCCTGAGCAGTTTCTCACCTTCCTGTTTTCCAAAGAGAACAGCATCTGGAACTCACAACTGGACATGGTGTGTCTGGAGAACATGAACAACCCCCTCTCCCATTACTGGATCTCCTCCTCACACAACACGTAAGGACTAGGGGAAGGTTCTCCCTATCCAGCTGCTCCCAGTATCCTTTTCCCATGCCAGGGTGGGGTTGTCCTGATTTTACCTGATCCCAGTGATAGTTCAAGTAGACTTTTTCAAACCAGAGACCTTCCTCTTGGTGTCCCAGTCCTCCCTTCTGTTGGTTAGCCATAAATGTTTTGCTCAGACATTGTCAGCAGCAAATATCTGCACAGCCCTTCAGGTCCTGAGCTGTCACTCTGGTGATTTCTCACCATTAGCAGTGTCATCATCCACAGCCTCTCAGGACAGATGTGATAAAACCTGTCAGGCTGAAATTGGCAATTTTCCTTCTCTGCTGCTAGAAGAATGTTGCAGGAACTGCTTTCTGTGCAGACAGACTCTGTCTGTGCTCCCCCTTCAGGGGTTGCAGTGGCAGCACCTTAGCCTAAATTTAAAGGACCAAGAGTCTAGGCCAGCTGAGCAGCCCAGAAGGTAGAGAACAAGCTCCTGTCTGCCTGCAAGAGCTGGTCTAACCCTGGTCTCAGCCTGCTGCTGCCTCATACAGGGCCTCTTAGTGGCACCAACACTGATACCACTATTTAAGGCTTATCTCAAGAGCCAGCAGCAGGGGTGGACATCAGGGTAGTGCTGGCAGCCCCTTGCAGGTGGGGAGGGTGGCAGAAGTGTGTTGCTGTGCTGAGGAGTTCTCTCACCTGGAAGGTACCTGACGGGGGATCAGTTCTCGAGCGAGTCCTCGCTGGAGGCCTACGCACGCTGCTTGCGCATGGGATGTCGCTGCATCGAGCGTGAGTACCTGGGGCTGGGGCTGTCTCTGTCGTTACAACAGCTTGTGGTGGTTGAGAAAGACTTTGCAGGGAAGGCAGGGCTGAAGGTTGATGTGGTAACATTATCACCGTGATGTGCAGAAAGAGCTGAGGTCGTTAGCTTTGTGAGACCGAGTGGTACACGGCCAAGGTTTTGGGCCCTCAGGAATAGCTGGGCTTTCACCTTGCTCCTCTATTGCACCCAACATGGTTCCCTGCAGTGCTTGGTTCAGCCCTTCACATGGCCATGTCATGCTTGTATTCCAGCCTTTGGGCTAAGTTTCCCCTGTGGGTCTCTTTCAGTGGATTGCTGGGACGGTCCTGATGGCATGCCAGTCATCTACCATGGACACACCTTAACCACCAAGATCAAGTTCTCTGATGTCTTGGTCACTATCAAGGAGCATGCCTTTGTCACCTCTGAGTGAGTACAGCAGGACTGCTGCTAGCAGAGCTGCTGGGAGGGCAGAGAGAGGGTAGAGCCAACGCCGTAGCAAAGTGAAGCCCACCTTTATCCAGAGATCTGGCACAAGGCCTGGGATTTGGTGGAAAGAAAGCATGTCATGTCTCCCAGCCAGAGGGAGATATTTCCCATGAAAAAAGTTGTGGGAGGGAGGGCTTTGGGTAAATCCCAGTAGTTTGCCAGTCCTGCTCCACCCTGTTCACTGCCAGCATCAGCAGGATACCTTGCTGAAGGGTGGTTACACCAGGTGCTCAAGACAGCACAAATGGCTGTCAATGTGAGCTACTCCTGGAGGGCACAGAGTCCAGGTTTTGAAACAGAGCTCAGAAGTCCTTGATTCCATCCAGACCCTGTGCTGGCTCTGACAGCTCTCCTCCTCCTCCTAGTTTCCCTGTGATTCTGTCCATCGAGGACCACTGCAGCATTGCCCAGCAGAGGAACATGGCTCAGAATTTCAAGAAGGTCTTTGGGGACATGCTCTTGACCAAACCCGTTGATATTTCTGCTGATGGCCTTCCCTCTCCAAACCAGCTCAAGAGGAAGATTCTCATCAAGGTGAACTCCTGTCCCCAGCAAGGCTCCTACGTGAGAGAATGAGGGCAGAATGGGGTGAGGGTGTGGGCCTGAGGGCAGCTGCGTACACCTGGAAGGGGGTGGTTGGAAGTGGAGACATGCTAAGAACAGCTGGAGACAAAAAGCTCTCTTGCTTCAGAGTTGCTGCTGGGAAATGAGCTCAGCAGCTGAGTGCTGCCTTTCTTGAGAGCGTGGGGGATGTTGCTATTGCTGCTGCAGGAGTCACCTCTGGGAAGAAAGGGTGGGGTTTTAGTGCCATTCAATGATCTCTGTGGCGTGGGTCGTCGTCCTTTTAGTCTGGAGGAACCCACTACAGCAGACCTGGAGTTTTAGGGCTGTTCACCAGGAAATCCATGCTGCTTTTTGAGTGCCTGACCTTATCTCATTCCACAGCACAAGAAGCTGGCGGAGGGCAGTGCTTATGAGGAGCTGCCCACGTCTGTAATGTATTCAGAAAATGACATCAGCAACTCCATCAAGAACGGGATCCTCTACCTGGAAGACCCCATCAATCACGTATGTCTCTGCTGCTCTCACCCTGTGCCTCTGTGGCCTCCATGAATGACATGGTGGCTCTGTTAGGTGCTGTGTGTGCTGGAAGGAAGGAGTGTAGTGCAAATGACAAAAGAGGCTGTTGGTCTGTCCAGTTTCTCAGGCATCCCTGAAGGCTGGGGGAGTTTTGTGCTGTCCCCTGTGCTCTAACCTAGGCATCTCCTGTGGGCCCTTGCTAGAGGCAGAAGGCTGAGCTAGAGGGAGCTCTGGGCCAAGGCATTGCAGCTGTGCTGTGTTCTCTGTGCAGCCTGTGCTCTGTGCTTCAGAAGGTTCTGGTGATGTCTGTTTCCAGTCCTGCTTGCTACCAAGTGCCTGCACACCTAAGCAAGCATTCTGCACTGTAAAGCTCTGAGTCCTGAGTTACTGTGGCCATTTACTCACACACAGCACACTCCTTCAGCAGCTTGGCTTTTCTGAGGGTCTGTCAGGCAGATATGTGTGAATGAAACAGGTTTTTTTCCTGAGGATATCAGATAAACATAACCAGATAATCATATCTGATATCCTCACCCCTGGTAGCCCCTGTGCTGAATCCATGCAGAGTGTTTTCTTTTGGCATTGATTTGCTCTTCATTTGGTTATCTCCTTCCGATACTGCTGGGGTGTTTGCAGTGTGATCTGCAGTCACTCTGTATGTAAGCCCTGTCACATGCTGGGGTTTTGCTACTGATAAATCCTTCAGATCTGGGGGATGTCTTGGAACTCCTGTGACTCACTGAAATCAGTGTTGCTGGTGATTGTCCTTCACAAAGCTGATCACCCTTCCCTGCTTGTGCTGGTCAGGAAGAGATGACCCCACAGGAGGAGGGTGGACCAGCTTAGTGCTTCCTCAGGGATTTCTTTGCCCAGAGTTTGTTTCCTTGCAGGAGTGGAACCCACATTACTTTGTCCTGACCAGCAGCAAGATCTATTACTCTGGGGAGACAACCAGTGACCAAGGAAATGAGGATGAGGAAGAGCAAAAGGAGGTAAGGGCTTGACATGAGTTGTTCTCTAAGGAAAGGACTTGACTGGCCAAAGGACTGAGCATGGCTACTGCCAGCTGACTTCAGGGGGAAATGGGAAGTGGTGGGAAGGATGGGAGCTGCTTCAGAACTCCCTGCTCCTGGTTGGAAAACTCCTGAGCAGAGCAGGCTCCAGCACCACGAGCCTGTCCTCAATAATCCAAGATGTTTGGTTTCCTCCCTGCAGGTGAGCAACAGCACGGAGCTTCACTCCACGGAGAAGTGGTTCCATGGCAAGCTGGGAGCAGGACGCGACGGGCGGCACATCGCGGAGCGGCTGCTGACGGAGTACTGCATCGAGACCGGCGCCCCCGACGGCTCCTTCCTCGTCAGGGAGAGTGAGACCTTTGTTGGAGACTACACCCTCTCCTTCTGGTGAGGCCCACGGGCACCAGCCTGCTGCTCTGGGTCACTCCTGGGGCAGTTTCATTTCTTCAGTGGTGGGTTCCCATTTCCTGGGGGTTTGTGAGCAGGTTTCTCCCCTTTTTCTGTGCCCCAGCGTCATGTCAGCTCTCTGCCCTAGTGCAGAAAGGTCAAGTCCTGTGGAATCCTCATGTGGTGGGTCTCCTCTGGGGCAGGAATTCTGTGACATGCTGGGGCCGTGGCTGAGGCAGGTGCAAAATCTCCTGGACAGCCCTGGCTTACCTGCTCCCTCTTCCACAGGCGCAACGGGAAGGTGCAGCACTGCCGGATCCACTCGCGGCAGGATGCTGGCAGCCCCAAGTTCTTCCTGACGGACAACCTGGTGTTCGACAGCCTCTACGACCTCATCACCCACTACCAGGAGGTGCCACTGAGGTGCAATGAGTTTGAGATGAGGCTGACAGAGCCCGTGCCACAGACCAATGCCCACGAGAGCAAAGAGTGAGTGCGTGTTTGAGCAGGAGGGTTTGCGTCTGTTGGGCAGTAGGACCCTATGGGAAACTCTCCCAGATCTCCCTCAACCATTCCTCCCTTGCTGGGGCTTTCTGGTCCCCACTTGCTCCCTGTGGAGCTCTGTCACAGCAGCCGTGCTGACCAGCCTCATTGTGTATGGAGCTGGTTGTCCTGGAGGCTCAATGCAAAGCACGAAGGTACTGGGTTTGGTTGGGATACCCTCGCCCAAAGGGCTCTGTCCCATTCCAGTCTCATGTATATGATGTTCTCTGCTCCCTGTCCTCCTTTTGAGGATTCAAACAGCCTTGTAGGGACTGAAGGGGAAGCCATGTGCCATGGCAGAGGTGTGGGATGAACTGGGTGTGTGGAGATCTGTGCACAGTGATGTGTCTTTCCTGAAAGGTGGTACCATGCCAACCTCACCCGGGCCCAAGCCGAGCACATGCTGATGCGAGTGCCACGTGACGGAGCCTTCCTGGTGCGCAAGAGGAGTGAGCCCAGCTCCTATGCCATCTCCTTCAGGTGTGTCCCTGGGAGAAGGGTGGTGGGTGTGGAAGGTGGAGCCAGGATGCTGCAGAGCAGCAGAGGGACCATAAGCTGGACATGAGCCCTCCCAGAGTTCTTGCTCCAAGGTGGTCCTGGACAAGTCCTACAGCCTCTTGAGATCTGTCAGGACCTACTGTTCCTTCCGTTTTCTGATGGGAGATGCCCAGAGGCACCTTTTCCTTGGGTGTCTTTATTTTGGCAGAGACCTTCTCTTGCCAGGTGCCAAGTGGCTTCTCTCTGTCTTTCCGTGTGCCAGGGCGGAAGGGAAGATCAAGCACTGCCGGGTGCAGCAGGAGGGCCAGACTGTGCTGCTGGGCAACTCTGAGTTTGAGAGCTTGGTGGACTTGATCAGCTACTATGAGAAGCATCCGCTGTACCGCAAGATGAAGCTGCGGTACCCCATCAACGAGGAGACGCTGGAGAAGATCGGGACAGCGGTGAGTGTGGGCGCCACACCCACACACCCACTTCACTCTGTGGAAGAACCCAGCCAGAGGTTGATGGATAGGTCATTTTTGAGCTGGTGCCTTGAAGTGTGGTGGTGTGTAAACCACCTCACACCTCCTGGGGCTTCATGCCACTTACTGGTCTGAGTGAGGTTTCTTGCTGCTCCTCTGAGCCACACTGGCAGGGAGTGTGGGCTTGGACTGCTGTCTGCTGTGTGCAGCATCATCTTTGGTCTTGTGCCTTCCCTGGGGCACTCTCCCCCAAGGCAGGGGAGCTGTTCTCTTGCAGAGTCACTGCTGTAACTGCTGATCCTTTGCTTCCATAGGAGCCAGACTACGGAGCCCTCTATGAGGGACGCCATCCCGGGTTCTATGTGGAAGCCAACCCCATGCCCACCTTCAAGGTATGATAAAAGTGCTTGGGATAGGACAGTCTGCAGGGCCTGAGGGTTTAGCAAGTATCTCTTTATTTTTCGAGAGCTGTGTTATTTTGCACAGTCATTTCTAGACCATGAACGGAAATACGCTGGAGATTGAACCTACAGGTTCCCAGGCTGGGCGGCCTCTTGTTCTGAGCTCTCCAAACTAAACCCATCTGTGGCTCTGGGACAAAGGAAACGGCCTGTGTGGGGCCATAACAGCCTTGTGACCTCTGTTTTAGCATAAATGGGGGCCTTGATTTGTTCTGCGAGGTGTCACTAGGGTCTGACAGCCTCTGGCAGCAGGGCTGGATGCTACCTGCACACAGTGTGCCTCACAGCACCCCCTACAAACACATCTGTGGTGGGAAGTGATCACTCATCCCGTGGGCTCGTTGCCCACATGTCCATCCCCTGCCCAGCCTCATGGGACCCCTCCTATTGCAGTGTGCAGTCAAAGCCCTGTTCGACTACAAGGCACAGCGGGAGGACGAGCTCACCTTCACCAAAAACGCCATCATCCAGAATGTGGAGAAACAGGAAGAAGGCTGGTGAGTTGGTCCTGAACCTCCCTTTTTCCTCAGGGACACGGTCAAACCTTGCTGCCACCATCCATGCAAAGGTGTGTCCCCTCTAGCATTGTGTCTCTCTGGGGATTGCCCACAAGCTGCACAGTCCTAAAGCCTCATGAACCTGAAAAGCACATGATGGAGGAGCTGCCTGTCCCCCTGATCCCCACTCAGGATGATCTGGGGTCCCATGGCAGGTGCTGATGCTGCCCCTTCCCTCCCTTCCAGGTGGAGAGGAGATTATGGTGGCAAGAAGCAGCTGTGGTTCCCTTCCAACTATGTAGAGGAAATCACTAGTCCCAGTAACCTGGAGCCAGAGCGGGAGGTGAGTGTATGTCCCTGAGCTCAGCAAGGAGAGGTTGTGGGGAGGAGCATGTGCCCAGCCCTCTGCACTTGGCTGCACTGCCCAGCACCATGCCCAACACCATCCTTCCTGTGCTTCCTTCCCAGCAGCAGCTGGATGAGAACAGCCCCCTGGGAGACCTGCTTGGTGGTGTCCTGGATGTGCCCTCCTGCCAGATTGGTGAGTGCCAGACAGAGCATTACAAAGGCCCCTTGAGGCTTCTCAACCCCCTCAGGATACACTGTGTCCTCACCTATTGCTTCCTGAGCTCCATCTGTTGCCTCCAGTGACCAGAAATGGAAACTTCTTGTGTCTGAAGAGTCCCAAGGGCAGCCATGAGTCCCTGTGGCTGAGTTCTCCCTTCCTCCCTCTGTGCTGTGAAAGGCTTGGCTCAGCGTGTGCTGTGACCTTGCCCTCTGCTGCCTCTCCCCACACAGCCATCCGCCCCGAGGGGAAGAACAACCGGCTCTTCGTCTTCTCCATCAGCATGTCCTCGGTGTCGCGCCTGTCCCTCGACGTGGCCGCCGATACGCACGAGGACCTGCTGGACTGGGTGAAGAAGATCCGGGAGGCAGCGCAGACAGCTGACGCACGGGTGAGTCCCCGTGGCAGGGGAGGCACCTCCATGCCAAGTCCTGGATTTTGCAGGAGCTGAGGAGAAGGTGGAGGCTGGCACGAGGGTGGTGAGGTGACAGTCTGTGAGGACTGGCAGACCAATTACAAGGATGATAAAACCAGAGCAATCTGACAATTGGACAAGGAGTGGTGGCCACATGTTATGGCTTGAGAGGTTCAGTCTGGATATCTGGGGAGATTGGACAGTTGGGAGGGTGCTGCAGCCTTGGAAGGTCGTCCATCTGTTGAGGGTGACAAGGCCACAGCTGTTCTGCACTGGAGCTGCTGTCTGTCCTGCTCCAGGCAGGAGGTAGGACCCACCAAGGGCCCTTGCCATGGGGTTTTTGTGGTGTCCCCCCATGCAGATCTGGCAGACCTGCTGGTGGATCTCACAGCATGGGCAGGAACAGCCACACCAAGCAGTGTGGATAGATTTTTGAGCTGGGTTATCCTACACTGCTGCTGCTCCTCCCTGGCTTGACACATCTCTCACGCTCTCTTGGCAGCTCTCTGAAGGGAAGATGATGGAGAGGAGGAAGAAAATTGCCCTGGAGCTTTCGGAGCTTGTGGTCTATTGCCGACCTGTGCCCTTCGATGAAGAGAGTGAGCATCTGCTGGGCTGGAGGCCATCACAGGCAGTCACTGTGGCATTGCAGGCCCCATGGTGTGCCCCGAGGTGCTGATTTGGCTAGATCTCAGCAGAGACCAGGTATCCAAGGTGTCCCAAAGCACCTTGGAGCTCTGGAAACATCCTTCTCAAGAAGATGGAAGTTCCCTTCCCCATCCCTCTGTTGCTGGTATCTGTCACCATCTGGAGCAGCTTCTGAGGGAGTGGGATTGGAGAACATTGTGCCTGATCACTGAGAGCAGTGCCAATGCTTTCAGCCATTGGTGTTGCACACCAGGCAAATGCCCACCAGGGCACAACAGGGTCTGCACCACCTAATGGTGGCTGAGCCAAGGCAGGAGAGGGTGATGTTAGGAAGGAGTCTAGGGTGGTTAAGTGTCTGGAAAAGGAGTGTGTTCCTGGCTTACACAGTGCTGTCTCCTCCCAGAGATCGGCACAGAGAGAGCCTGTTACCGAGATATGTCCTCCTTCCCCGAGACCAAGGCGGAAAAGTATGTCAACAAGATCAAAGGCAAGAAGTTCCTGCAGTACAACCGTCTGCAGCTCTCCCGCATCTACCCCAAGGGCCAGCGCCTGGACTCCTCCAACTACGACCCCCTGCCCATGTGGATCTGTGGCAGCCAGCTGGTGGCACTCAACTTCCAGACCCCAGGTGAGGGCAGCAGGCAGGGAAGGTGGGCAGGCTCCTGGGGTGCCCTGTGCCTCCTTCGAGCCACCTGCCTGCACCCTGCTCCTGGCAAATGGGGGTTCCAGAAGGGGCTCTGGGTCCAGGCAGGGCTCTGCAGGCAGTGAGACACAGGGAAATGTGCTTCAGAGGATTGGATTGACTCAGGGAGCTGGGCTGAGTCTGGGGGTTGTGCCATGAGAACAAGATGAAATGGAGAGGAGGCAGGGAGTTCCCCCTGGTCCCTGGTGACAGGCAGGGAAGGTGCCAAAGTGGACGGTGCAGCCCCAGCCCTGGGAGTTGCAGGATCCGAGTCCAGCTGGCAGCTCTTCTCGCCTTTCCCCAGC